TCGAAGAGGGTCAGACGAGAAGTATGTGTATGAGCAGCAGCAAACACAAATGTTCCCCCCTCAGCCTTGAGGCTGCCAAGACAACTTGCAACCGCGTCTCCAGATAAATACAGATGACATCACCATCAAAACAATCTTCGCCGGGTCAGGGAGAGCTAGGGCGCTTTAGAAGTCTCGAGTTCCCATCTATGTGCATATGCGCCAACCTGTCTTAGTCTTCTGGAAGACTTTGATGCGTGTTTCGGGATTCTCAGGTGCAGTCTTGACATGAGGCTCAGAATAGAGAGAGGCACCTAATGGCAAGATGCGGTAAGTATTCCTCCGGTGTTGCAAGTTTGCGCACGGGTTCCAGCGACCTTGTCTGCTGTCCGTGGCACTTTGTGTATGCATCATGGCCTCTAGGCACGACGTACCCTAGGACAGCAAAGATAACGCCTTCTGTCTGAGCATGTAATGAATGCTGAGTGCCGAAAGCTTTCGGCTCGGGGTGTCGAATGCGTGGATGACGGAAAAGCTGCTTAGCGTGAACATGCTCGAGAGCACCACAACGCCTTGGGCGATCCTAAGCTACTCGTGCACCCGTGCTCACAGCGGTCAAATCCAGCGGAATCCGCATGTGGTGCCAGGCATGAATTTCTTCGCGAGCAGGAAATGCGGCATGCTTGGATTCTCAGTTTCTTTCGCATCTAACCAGGCTGGCCCTTTAAAGATGGGCAAACATCCCACAGGCTTACCTAGCAAAATGTACCAATTAGGAATATCAGGTTGGTAAGCACAAGATGTACTTACACAATTTGTGCTTTGAGCCCTTGCTTGCACCGGTTTGCTCCTGTGACAGGTGATGGTTCCAAATGAGTACTGCTGACAATATGATGGCGATGAAGATGACGGCCGGGACCGTTGCCGGTGCTCTTATTTCGACCAAGTGCCAGTACCCTCGCCAGTGTGCAGGTTTCGACTTCCACTACCTGCTGCTTTGAGCGTCATCCTTCTTATCGCTCGTATTGAACATCACTCCTGCAACGACGACAGCGTGGGCTCGGTAATCCGCCGAGAACCGCTGCAAGCTGCGGCGATCTGTGCAAAAAAACCCTGAGACGAACGCTGCGCTGCGTCACCAGGGCCTATGCAGGCTATGCAGAATCTGGAAGCTAAACTCAGCCATCAAGCCCTCAACCTCAACATGCTAAGCTCACACCAATCGATGCACCATCGCGATCTTGGGGTGACCTTGCTGCGTCTTTACTCTGCTGCCTGGTCTGGCTCAGTAGTCGATGGCCTTGGCTGCCGAAACATGCAACGACTGCGAAGTCTCCCAAAACCTACTCCCCAGACTCCAGACCCTTGGTCGTAGAATCCAACAGTTTTTAAACACTCTGAAACCGTAGTGGCCATTGCACCCCGGACCTATCTGAAGCGGCTGAAGTCTTGAGGCACTCAACCCCTCTCCTTTCAACCACTCTCATCTGAGAAGACTCCAGCTTTTGCTGCGACAGGGGCGGTCTTCTCTACCGCATAGCCCATCTCGTCATCCTGCAACTGCGGAATGCTATCGAGGCTGCTTTTTGCTACTCTTGGTCACCATGATCTGACTCTACTCCTACTCCTACTCCTACTCCTACTCCTACTCCTACTACTACTACTACTACTACTACTACTACTACTACTACTACTCCTGCTCCTCACAAGCACATCCACGTCCACATCCACAACCACTACTACTAGTACTACTGCTGCTACTGCTACTGCCAAAACAAGGACAACTGCTACTACCACTACGACTACTGCTACCGCTGCTTTGCCTACTAGTATGGTTAAGACTAAAAGTAGTTGGTAGGGGGGTGCCTATTACTACTGCTGCTGCTACTACTACTGTTACTACTACTACTACTACTACTACTACTACTACTACTACTACTACTACTACTACTACTACTACTACTACTACTACTACTACTACTACTACTACTACTATACTACTACTACTACTACTACTACTACTACTACTACTACTACTACTACTACTACTACTACTACTACTACTACTACTACTACTACTACTACTACTACTACTACTACTGCTACTGCTACTGCTACTACTACTACTACTACTACTACTACTACTACTACTACTACTACTACTACTACTACTACTACTACTACTACTACTACTACTACTACTACTACTACTACTACGGTTACTACTGCTGCTGATGCTACCGATGCTACTGCTACTGCTACTCCTACTGCAGGTGCTACTGGTACTGCTACTGCTACTTCGGCTGCTACTGCTACTGCTGCTACTACTACTACTCCTAGTACTGCTACTACTCACTGCTGCAAGACTGCTAGAACTCGAATCCGAAGCATCTCGAGAAGCATCCGCTTCTCAAGCAGGATTCTATCATCTGCTTGCTGCCTGGGTCAGCAAGTAGGAATTTGGCTCCACGAACATTTCCTGCACACAAGGCGCAGACGCACGAGGTACAAGACCGCCAAATTTACCGTCGCGGCGATCGTGGTCACGAGCGCAGTTGTTCTGACAATGAGACAATGATGCTGACGATGATCGCCACAATTCCACTCTTCTCACTAGAAGCATCCTCAGCACATCATGTACGGATCTGTTTGACGGTGACCATGGCAGGCACAGTCAATGCTATCCAGTAATGTAGAGTGTCATGTAGCATCAACGCTGCTATTGATGCTCCTAGTGTAGTACTCGTATCAAAATGCTTCTGCAGAGCAGCAGCACTTGCGCTTGCAGTTGCAGGTGTTCTTGCTGGTGTGGCCGATGCTGCTCTTCCTCTTCTTCTTCTAGCCGCTTTGTCGTTGTCGTTCTGTTCTTGTTGGTTGTAACTGCTGGTGCCCAGATACTACAATCTACAAAGGACCTGATGATAATCGCATCCCATTGCACTTCCTCGTCAAACAACATCAGACTCCCTGAGAGCCGCTATGGCAGTCCTCGCCGTCGCTGTCACACAGGATTGTTGCAGGCGTCCTAGACGCTCTTCTGCCATTTGTTGTCGCAGTCCTTGCCGTGGTAGGTGCCCGCATTCTCTTTTCGTTTTCGTCGTGGCCGTTGTCGTGGTCGCCGTCGTCGTCGCCGCAGCAGCGCTGATTCAGCAGCTGCAGCAGCAGCAGCGGCAGCAACAAGGCCAATGCAGAAGTAGTCGTTGTCGCCTTTACTTCGTAGCTGCAGCTGCAGGACGTTCAAAATGACGACAATGATGATCAATGATGACGATGATAACGAAGATGGTGATGGCGACAGCGATGACTCACTGTCAATGGATGTGCCAGTCTGGACATGGGCTTCCTGGTCCAGCCTGAAACATTTCGACGAGCTTGGCGTTTGTAGCAGCAAAATCCTGGGCAGGGCAGCGTGGCAGGACCTTCGGGGTTTTGATTTGCAGAATGCGGTGCAAAAGGGCTAGTCAGCAGCCGGCAATGGTATGCCTCCCATCACAGTATGTGGTCTTTGCTGGGCATGATTTTCGGGTTCACGCCTGGAATGTTCTGGTTAGGTTCCCTTGCGTGTGTCTCAGCATGTTTCTTACACGTAATCGCCAGATGCCCAGTCACCGTCCGCTTGGCCGTGAGCATCATGAACCTCGTCTTGATTGTCGTGGGCACCGGCAACCCCAACCTTTAACTCGGAGTCGTCTGGCACCCTCTACGAGGATAAAACTATTCCTGGCGGCGTAGGGGCTGGCCAGCAAAGGGGACTTGTGGTCAGGACGTGTCGAGCTAAAACTTGAGACTCCAAGAAACCAAAAACGCCAAAACCCCCTGAATTGTGTTCGATTCTTAACTCCGGAGGAGAGCCTTAACTGGTGTCCGCCTGCGGCCGCGAGGCCCCAGTTTGGCCCACTTGCCGCCGCCGTATTCCAGCTCCTCTGGGCCGATGAAGCCAGCTTTGAACCTGCGAGGCTTCAAATCCAAACTGAGGCTTAGCGGCTGGACAAGCAAGATCATATAAGCTGCGAAGCGTCAGCCTCCGTTCTCTTCGACGTAAACTAGTGTAGCCTGTAGAAATCCCGCCCGAACACGTGAAACGCCAGTAAGCAGCAGCATACTTCAAGTAACCATACTCAGATGCGTCTGCATGTACAAGCACTGGCACCAAAACCATGCGAACTTCAGGGACTTCAAACCCCGAGAGCCTGTCAAGCCCAAAATCCACACTCTGAAGTCGCTTACAAGCTTTTTCCTGAGACGGTGGTACAGCATGGATTTTGGATCTGCTGCTTAGACTTGAGGAAATGACTAATTATCTACTTGCTGTAAATTAGCACTGAATGCGACAAAGATCTTTGCAGGCAGATGAGCCAACGATCGCACTGACAGCATAGCCAGTATTGAAAGAGCCGTTGTTCTTCGCGTGGTTCTGAAACCTAAACGCATCAAATCTAAAAACGGAAAGAAACACTTCCTGCGTCTCCAAGCGACGCAGGCTTAGGGATCCAGCACTCTGCCTTGCCGTCCTCTGAAGCAGTGGGGCCGGGATCTAGGCAATGTTTCTTCTGTACTGTTCTGACAGTGGTATTGTTTCAGGTGGTGGCTGGTTAGGGTTTAGCGTTTAGCGTTGACAACCTGATGGATGCCACGGACCAACTTCGGGCCCAGAACCATATCACGTTAGCATAGGAACTCGCCTCGTATCGCAGCTCTGATCTTACGGCCTAGGGAATTCCTAGCAAAGGCAGGTTGTCGGGGGAAACTTGAATTCCCTCATAGTTGTTTGGTTTGAGAGGCACTCTGAGCTTCTCGGCTTCGGTCCGAAGCAGAACCCACCCTTGTAGCCCTCAGCAACATTGAGAACAGTTCTTTGCCTTGTCACAAGTCGCGGCACATCAACACAGTCTGCACACGGCTTGATCCAGCCCATAGACCCCTGTAGACCCAAAAGCCCTTCACTAGACCCACGAGGCAAGACCCTTCCATGCTTTGTGGGGCTGAGAAGCGACTGGAGCACTGGATGGTGTCGAATTATGTCAGGTTTTGGGGCTTGCGGCCCCGATGCTGCTAAAGCTCGCCCTAGGCAGTGGTGCTTTGCTTGGAGGCGAGCTCATCTCTGACTGGGGAGGTCCATCCTCCAGGAACTTGTCCAAAAACGCTGTGTTGACAATCGTGTCCAACTTCCCGGTCTTGTTGGTGTACCTGACTCATTCTGCCGCTTGAAAGCCTTCCCGAGAGCTCCTCCCAACCCCTTAATCTCCATACCCGCATTCAACCCTGACAAGGAGACACGAAGGCCCGAACCCGTTGAGTTGCTTGCTCTCAGTAATTGTTACAGGGTCCAGGGCCTCATTGAAAGTTGACAAAGCTAAACCACATCCCAGATGCACGGCCACTGCCAACTTGGAGACAATGTTCCTGAGTGTCAGTACACTGTCACAACTTGGTATGAGATCCAAGATATCCAAACAAGCTTGGGCAGAGCCTCCGGCATATGGCAACAGGAAGAAGGCTCTATGGACCCTATTGCTACGACCTCAAACTTCCAATTTAAAGCTCACCTTGCGGAAGATGACAGTTTGGAAGCGAAGTCAACGTGACAAATCAAAACTCACTTGCGGCCCGGCGTCATATCCGAAGGGAACTTCGGGACCTTCATGCCGAGGCCTTGTGGAGCTGCAGGCAGTTCGACGTTCGTGGCTGTCCCATCCCCACGGCTACTTCTAAGCATAGCCCTTCAAGTCTTCAAACGGGAGTCATCAATGACAAGGCGGCGTCTCATCATGGCGACACACTTCGGGTGCTGCTCGCCGTGCGCCAAGTTAAGGTTTTGGTCAAGTCAGGCCAGCAATATTCACGGCGGAACTTGATTCTTTCAGCGCTCAGCGATTCGATGGCCACCATCTCGAATCCCTGTCGCAGTGAATGGATCCCTGACAATCCCTATGAGGTCGCACCCCCACCCCCCATATGGCCAAGCTGAGAGGCATGAGCAAGTTCGGTTCTCAAGGTTCCGCACCTGGGATCCCAGCCCTACTAAACCGCTGGACGATGATGCACTAGTAGAGCCTTGAAAGCTCGGGGGTTGCTTACGTTGCGCTCAAGGTTTGGGGCTTGCTGGCTCCAGGGAAGCAAGTATCCGTGCACCCGAGATGCTATTGAACAACCCTTACAGAGCCCTAAACCCTACAGGCAGGGATCGGAGTCTTGGGATAGCAGCTTGTTTGGAGCATGGTCGTGGAAGATAAGGGCAGTCCGGCGACTGGGGCTTCAGTGAAGACTTTTGCTCAATTTTGGAGTTTGAGGGGCAACTATGTCTGAACTTAAAGGTCACGCTTCCTAGGCTGGGGTGAAATGGAAGCCCAGGTCTTGCACCGAAAGCCGAGACCGACGAGCGTCGAATTCCCCGAAAATCCAACAAATCAAATCTGCTTTGCCGCCTTTGCCTGCCTTCTTCGCCTGCCGCTTGAAAAACAATAACTTTAATGTCGGACTACCGAGCGTAAACCGATCTACGCTTCTGCTGGGAGATCCAGCCGGAGTTCAACAGCGACAAAATCGAGACCAAGGCGCATCGGGCTGATGCATCAGCGTGGACTTCTGCGACATTTGCGTGTACCTGGGATGTTGGGGCCTTGGGTCGTAGGTCATGACCCCCGTCACAGTTGTAGAACGACAGAGAATCGAAGAGACTGCGTCGTCACCATATCAACCCAATACCCTCTTCATCGAAGCTATTCGCGACCTGCAGCCGTATTACCTTGAAACTTGCTTGCTCTGAAGGCGTCCCGGTTTTCGAGTTACCGCGGCAGCACGGCTCAAGCCCCACAAATGTCTGCGAGGCACCAGGACCAATACCCCATGTAGCTGTAGCGGCTGTTGATCTCAACCAGCTGCGGTCCGTCCTGACACCGCTGGGAATCACCCGTCTTTTTCGGACTTCGGGTAGTTCGCGCAGCCTCAACCCTAAACCTTGCACCACCAAGCTGAACCCAATAGGGTAAGGTGCGTCCTCCTGAAGACACCTTCGAGGCACTTGAAGACACCCTGTCGCAGCCATACAATTCGCCTGAGCCCTACAGGTTTCCAGGACTCCCTGTTTCCCCACCTCTTCATCTCCTTTCCAGTGAACAACACGCCCTTAGCTGGCAGGACGCTCCCCCGCCTCCCCCCCCTTTATTTCGGGTTGGACATTCTGCTGGCAGATTAGGCTTCCTGGCCCCCCACCCCCCCGCCGTGCCATGATAGAGTATGTATTCCACTTGCACGAGGCGCACCCAAGATGTGTATATGAGCACAACGATATGTCAGGATTACAGATTATGTAACAGAGCTCCAGAGGCCACGGAACACAAAAGCTCGGCGTGCCCAGCGTTGATTTGATATATCTACAATTACTGTACTCACCAAGAGGAAGGGCTCGGAATCCAAGACATGCAATCTTGCACGGCCCCGAGCTCCCACAGCTGACAAACCCCTATGTCAAAAAAAGCAGGTCCGGCTCTTTGGCCTATCTCACGGATGTGTATACACACAGTGACTGTACAAATCAACAGGCCCGCGACCGCTAGTTGCTAAACGGCCGCTATTCTTCGGTACAGTCGAAGGCCTGAGAAGCGTGCTAGTCTTCGGTACAGTCGCTGGGCTAGAAACTTTGCCGGCCGCTCGACGGCCTCTATTCTTCGACACAGCCGAAGCCAGCAAGGCTGATGCAGCACGGACACACAAACAGCTGCCCTCAACGACAGACACACTTGATGACACATCTCACGTCTGATTGATTTCGGGTCAAGACACATCACTCATGCTGAGAACTTTCGGCTGTTGGCCTTGCCCGCTGCTTCTTTGCAACGCCCACATTGCTCCCTAAAGCCAAAGTCAGCTGTTTGGGGTTTAGAGTTTCGGGTTTCCGGCCTATGGGCCTTGGTAGGCTTTCGGGCTGCTGCTTTCCGAAACAATGCACCACAGCCGGGCCGAGGCGGACGACGCGAAGCATTTAAGACCATAATCAATTCATGAATCTCTTTATCTATTTATGTACATATATTGAATTCAGGCCATGGGAATGTCTTAATTTGATGTATTTAATCTGCGGCCCTTTATAACTCATTAGACTATACTTAATCATCAAATTGCGCAACGGCTCCTGGAACCCAGACCAACTTAATCTTTGATAGACTTAGTCTATAAAGTTCTTCAAAGCCCTGGGAATTTACGACTTTGATATATCTAATCTGCTGTCCTCTGCAGAATATTGAACTATATTGAATCATTAAACTCACCCCCTGGAATTAACTAGTTTTACATATTTTAAGAATGTGATGTATTTAGGAGTAAGTAGGCCTGGGCTTGAGCCTCCCACCAGGAATTAATACGTTAATGTATTCAATCTGTCGCCCCTTTTGAAACATCAAATTTCTTTAAGTATTAAGTCCACGCACTGGAATTAAAACATATTTAATGAATATCATGTATTTAATTTCAACAGGTTTGGGCTTGAGCCTCCCACCGGGAATTTGATACTGAGTATGTTTCATCTACGGCCCCGTTTGAAATATTGATTTATATTTATTCAATTCACGCACTGGAAATGCAACAAGTGAATATATTTAGTCAGTTTACTGTATTCAATATTTAATAGGTGTGGGCTTGAGCCTCCAACCGGTAATTTAGTTATATAATGTGTTTAATCTGCGGCACCTTTGGAAATACTTGCATCATTGCATTATATTTACTATTCTTAACAAATTATTAAAGTCCGAACCTCAAAGAACTAACAGAAATGTTAAACCCTTCAAACCGACCCATAAGCTGCCAACCCTAAACACCACTAAACCCGAAACCCTGCAGCACTAACGCACTAAACAGTAAGCCCCAAACTCAAACCCACAAGAGCCAAGACAAAGCCTCTAAACACTGCTTCAAAAATACAACACGGCCTTCAAAGATTGAATGCCACCCAGAGTCACATGGCACGTGTTCTTCCATCTTCCCCCCCCCCCTCCACCCCTGCCCGCCGCCTCCCTTCCCGGCCCCTCTCAACTACAGCCGGGCCGAGGGGGACGACCCGAAGCGGTCAAAATCAAGCTATGAAAACCATGTGGTTTCTGTTTGTGTTTGTACAGGGAGTATGTTACTAACTTTGCTGTTACAACAATCCAACAATCCCCGCTTTGGTTAACCTCCGGGTCCTTCGTGAAGATGAACTCCAGGTCGATCGCCTCCGCCAGGCGTCTGTTCTGCTTTTGGGCTTGCGCTCGGTGTTTGTGTTTAGGATGCTCGAACAGAGTTCTGCTTAGTGGTTCAGGGTTGGGAGGTTCCAGGTTCAAGTGCATGGGAAGGCGCAGTGCACAAATACAGTACCGCAACTAAAAGCCCAAGACAGGAGCAGGAGCAGCAGGAGCAGTGCAAAAGTACGAGACCCCAACTGGAATATAGGATCGAGCGGCCGACCGTTCCCCGGCCTGGTTCTTGTAGCCCAGTTCATGGAGCTTCTTGGTGATCGCATGGGTCCACTCCTTTGGCACCTGCCGGCTCTCCCCGCGGGCTCGCAAATCGCAATTTTGGCGAATTCGGCTGTTGGGTTTCGATTTGGGCCTCGCAGGCATGGCGTGTGGCTTTTATAACAACAATATGCCAGCATTGGCATCCTGTAGCGGATTGTTGTTTGATTCAATAAACCTCAGTAGGCCTCAGACGAGGTTGGACCCGTCCTTTGTTCGGCACGCCATGTATAGGGTCCACCAGTCTCACTTTTCACCGACTCTCACGAGCCCTGCGGCCACAAGAAGCACGTTCGAAGGCACTTAATCATTGAATTGTCGAGCGCATGGTCATGGGTGAAGGTTGCATGCAAGCTGATCCAGGAAATAGGTGACCGCCCTCATGGCCATCACCACAATGTGGTCATGTGTCTGCGGAAGCCAGAGGAGAAGATAAAGGCCTAAGGACACTGTGGGTGCTCGCGCTGAAGAATCCCGTGAATGTGCTCGGACGCGGCCTTTAGAGTAGCGAACTCATAGAGAAACCCTGGTGGCAACTTCACATCAAAGTGAAGTTGCAGGACTGACTGCAGCAGTACATTGCTGAAGCTGTTCAAGTCCTCCAGTATGATATCTTCCTCAGCGAATTCCAGGCCATCGCTCTCCATGAAGGCCACATTACACTCGTACATAACATCAGCCAGAGACATGTCCCCGATGATGGCTGTGAGTTCTGCGTGTCCGCCTGTGACCGGAACATCTGCGAGCTTACTGCATCCAGCCATGAGTTCTCCATTGCAGGTGAACTTAACACTTTGCGACCTCCCCCGAGGCCTCCGATCCTTGACTTTCTCAGCCAGCTTCGACAAAGAGGTGCCTGTTTCTGCCACCCATTCAAGGAGAACCTCACCTGTCAAGTTCAGCACCACGACAGGCACGACGTCAGTCATGGAGCTGTGATCTGGGCGGACCGCATTCCAAACATTCCACGGCCACAGCGGCTAAACCGGGCAAAGAACCGGATCCACGGCTACACGAAGAGAAACTGATGCTGCCTAGAACTTCCAGTGGCTGCAGTTGCAAATGTCACAAGCATAAAAGTGAAGCTTAACCTAGAGCCGCAACACCAGACCCAAAGCGAACAACTCCGAGTCCCTACACTTACACTGCACCCCGGGGCCCTAGACGGCAAAAGCTCGACAAAGCCCCGACCTCGAAGGAGCCTGGTGTCACGAACATTGTCAGGACCTCCTGGCCAAGGTCGTCAAGAAGTCTTTGCGACATTCCGAACAGGCTTCAATATAGTAAAAGCCTCCCACACCGTGAAGAAGAGAGCGGATCCGGCTGGGCTAGGGGATTGGATGGGCGTTGATCATTGAACTGACTCACAAGCTGAAAGGTGAGTATTCATGCAATTGGGATTTGGGTATTTGTTTATTTGAGCAGGAGAGAGACTGTCTTCCCAAATTTAGGCAAGGCGTTGAACAGCCAGATTGCAGTTTGGGGGGCACGCCAAACGGGTCTATCAGACTACTCTAGTACTAACCAGATGGCATGCTCCTATATGCACAAACTTCGATTCTCGATCTCAGAACCCTCGTCATTAGTGTCCAGTGCAGGCATCACACACGATGAGTCTCATGTTTCTACTGCGTGTGCGAAGACCAAACTCAACGTGAGAAATGCAAGACTGTGACCGCGTGAAAGTGCCTGGACCCGGCTCCTTGTCCGTTTCTACTTATCTTTCCGCAGTTCAGCTCAATCATTTCATAAGAAAGGACAACTGAAGGATCTGCGGTACTTCAAATTTTAGAACATAGCTCATGTGCCGGAATGCGGTGTCTAGTACTCCCGCCAAGGTTTTGTTGCCTCGTGCTTGATCAAGTCTCCGGTGTCGGCGATCAACGTGTGCTCGCCGTGGCTCTGCATGCGTGGGTGCGGGCGATACAGGCGTAGGGCCAGGGGTGGGTGCCGAAGGAATCATAAAGTGCAGAGGCAGCAGCGACGAACCCTGCTAGGTCCTGAAACTGGTTTGACGAACCCTCATTTCGTTTGATTCGGACACCGTCCCGGAGCCTCGTCAAAAACAATTTCGATTTGATGCTCCCTTCCTTCGAAGTACGGCTCGACGTGGTACCTGTGACTACAGCACGTGAGCTTGAGGAAGCTGTCCCTAACCACCTCATTGAAAGCCTATTGAAGTGTCACTCGCACGGGGCACATAACCAAGTCCTGCCACCGCGACTCGGGCATAGCGTCCGGATAGAGCTTCTGGAACCACTTGAAATAGAACTGCCTGGAGGGAGAGGGTTGAGCAGGGCCGTCAGGTTGGTGACATTTCGGGTTTTGGGGCTGTTGGGGCCTCAGGCCATACAAGAGTCACAGGTGCCAAGACTTGGCCGTGAACTATATACACCTTCGATGGTTTGTTGCTGCACGCACATTCTCCATACCCAATCGAGGTATTCAGTCAAGATGGAAATGATGGAAGCTTCGTGCAGACCCACAATATT